AGAGCTCAATGTTAAGTCTGGTATGCTTGCTGCTCTTCTCAGAACTCACTGTATGTTTTTGAGATCTTTCTGGTAATGTGTTCACAAAAAACCTGTCCAGAAGAGAGCTTTACATGCACTTGGTTTAAAGAAAAAATAAACCCAGCCCAGTGGACATTGTTCATTTTCATTTTCCATGTCTGATTTTGTCCCCAGGTTTTTAATTCAATCTGAAATTTTAAATACAAATTAACAATTTGTATATTTAAGAGCAGATTAGCAACTAGAAATATCTGGATCCAATTGTGAAAGAACAGTGTTTTTAAAAATAAAAAAAAAAAACCAAAACAAGCAAACACTAAGGCTTTTTTATTAAACTTTTCAGAAAACCACTGGAATGTGCGAGGTTACCCAGTATACCACTACAGAGCAAGTCTATCTTGGAGAATTACTAAATGTCTGAAATTCAGAAATCAAAAAGTTAGAGGAAGAGCCAAAAGAGTAATGCAGTGTAGCTAATGAAGGAAGTTACTTGAACGTGATGAAAGCTCTGTGGCTCCAGGTACATATGGTGAGAAAAACACAATCCTACACAACACGCTTGTGTTTAAGCCTGACAGGACTACAAGGCTGCTAAAAAAAAAAAATCAAAAGGGCCAAGAAAAAGAAGTATGTGCCCTTTGTTGAAACAACAGAATAATGCCCCCCCAACACAGTCACAATAATTTTGAAAACATGTAATACACAATAAAACTGCTAATGATATTTCTGTTCAGTACTAAGCATGTTAAGGGAAGATGCCACAGCCACTACTAATTAATTCTATTAAATGCAACAGCAAGCAGTTTCCTGGCTGGTTGCATTTCAAAAAGTGGTAAATTCCTCAATATTCAGGAATTGCTTGGAACTCACGGAATATTTATTTTTATGTTTGCATGGAGAAACCCCCAGTTAAACTAACATACAGTTTAACTTGAAGAACCCTAGCCTCAGCTTACAAAGGAGATGGAAGGAAAATTTACATACTCCAGCAGAAGTTTAACCTGCTGCAAATGCCTTCAGAAATCAGTCTTCATCTAGTCACCACCAAAGGATTTGAACCACACAAAAGAGAGGTTAAAAGCTGACTTGGTGAAATAAAACCTTGTTATTGAGCAAGCCCAACAACATCACACCTAACACTAGGAAAAGAGAGAAAAGTCTGCATCCTGACCAATTGTCCACGAATCTAAGTTTCATCTGTCTTCTGGTGTTTCAAATGAGATATTCAATTTTGTTACCAAAACTGTGGGATAAAAAAGGGCTGTTCTATGGTTCACTAGGTCACAATAATGGAAAACATAGGAACTGCAGAAGTATCTAATGGATATCACAGCTGAAATCCAAATTTTCCAATTACCTGGGCCAGCCAGTTCAACATCAACTGAGCACATTCTCAGCATGTTCCAGTTGCTTTGACTGAAACAACATTAGGTGAGATGCTAAAGCAGATCTACAATAAGGCATGTGGAGACTGACACCTTGAAGGTTTTCATATTTGTAATAGCTGCCATGCTCCTCCCACCCCTCAAGGAGAACTGTTTATGAACTGGGACAGGCAGTGCTTCCTCTGGTTTATTTTATTGATTTCCAGTTTTAGTTACTATTTGCAGTCATAGAAAACATTAACTGATACCATATCCCTCTGAGACAAAGGCAATATCCTGCAAATTTACCTAGTCACTTCGCAACAGGGGTGGGAGGGACCACCTGTGACATGGTAGGTTTTAGCATCAGATTGACCTTTTATGCCAGCTTAATTCATGTTGCAAGCTCAAGTCTCTGCAGTTCACCGACAGCTCCAGGTTTTAACATGGTTATCTACCCTTCTAGCACTCAGCCTCAGAGCTTTGGATGTCTTGAAGTATTTCCTATGAGCTGTGTCAGGGCTTTGACTCACCAACAGATGGTACAGCCTGGGAGATAGATAGATGACTGCCCCCAGCTGTCTGCCCCACCCTGCGCAGCACAGAAATGGCAGAACTATTTGTATAGTTGCTAAACTACTGCCTCCTACAGAACAGCAATCTAACACACAGCCATCCATTCTAGATCCTCCTAGAGAAAAGGTGCTCCAAGTCAGATGTTTGTGCGGTGAAAGGAAACGCTGCACAGTTAAGGCAGTAGCTCACTTCTTCCAAGCTCTTACTTCCTCCGTGGTAAACCAAGGCCCCAACAGTGTTTTGTCAAAGTAAGTACTCACTTTGCTAGTTACTATTTTTTATTTCTCTGTCCTCGGTAGTGTTGGGAGACCTGCTCTATCTACCATCGCCATGCAAATTACACAAAGGCACTAAGCTCTTTCCCTCTTCTTTCTCTAGACCATTAGTGAAGATGCCAGGGGATACCAGCCTCATTGCTTCTAATGTCAGCACAATGATTAGGAGAAAACATAGCATCCCATATCCAACAAGACAGCTTTTCATGCCTTAAGTAGGTGGTAAGCAGAGACTGCTGGAGAGGAGAGTAGAGTGAGAGCAGGACTGTGTAATGAGCTTATTCAGTCAGGATGCCCTCTCCAGTAATGGAACACAACCAGAAGGGAAAAACACAATGAAAAGAAAGCAGCAAGGACACCGCTGGGGAACAATGAAATGCTTCAACTTTTGTCAAGGGAAAGGAGCATATACATTTCTCTCTAACACCTCGCCCCTTGGTTCAGCAAACTCTGCAAGTCGGTCACGGGACAGCTAAACAACTGTCCCTTGGGGGCAGCGCCAGCTCCACACAGAGCTTGTCCTGTTCGTGAGCTGGCTCGTAAGCGGTGAAGATGAAATCAGGGACTATATTTATTCTCCCTGCCTGGTCAGATCTTTCTATAGATCCCAGGCCGGGCCCCGCTTCCTTGGCGTGAATCCTGGAGACAAGTAAGCAAAGGAGGGCATAAATCAGTGCCTTGGGTTCTGTCAGGAGCACATCGAACCAACCGTCCATGCTGGGAACAGGTGCACTGAAGGCAAGCAGGGACACTGTCCCGTTTGGAGTTGTGGGGGAGGGCGTGCAGGAAAGCTGCTCCCTTATCCCAGAGCCTAGCCTCAGCTTTCAAACTGCAAGTGGGTGACCTGCCTTCTGCAGCTCTCCACTCCAGTCAACTAGAGACTTCCCACTAAACGCCAGTCCATGCTACATGAGGCCCCAGCCTTGCTGGTTTCAGCAGTCCATTCTACCTTGCTTTTACTTTTGCTCTCACTCTGTCACCGAAATCCTTCACTTTTTGCTCCAAACGTTCACTCCAAAGCTGAAGTATTTCAGGGACCGTGCAGAACGATCAGTGAATTGAGGCAGCCTTAAAACACAACTGTAATTTTCCAGCAGTAATTTTAAATGTCACCTGTTGTGAAAATAAGTGCAACAAGCCAGTTTTGCAAACTGAGAGCAGCAAGGACCATGTCACCAATCCATGCTTAACTGTGGAGAGGCTCTTCAAGTAATATATTAGTTTGAGAAAAATTTAAAGCAAATACTGCTTCTGAAAGAAGCAGTCCTACCCCTCACTTCAAACAAGACTGCTCAGTCCCTTTTCCTCATATCATCCCCTAGAGTACTGGCATAAGCAGTTGTGCAGCTGTGCAGTGAAACAAATCAGGGGGCTTATCCAAAACTAAGTTCACTTTTTTCCCCCTTTTGTGGCTGTTAGTTTTAAGCTGCATCAGTTCCTTGGTCGGTTCCACAGCACAACCACAAAAACGTTTGTACTGGCATAGAGCAGGAATTGATCTCTACATAAGAACATTGACAACTGCTGAGCCTCAGGGTGATCTGCCTTAGTCAACATATATTGCTCTGTTCAGACACAATGGTGTATGTACCCAGTAAAACCATCCATACTAGATAAGGTTCTGTAAATAAGACCTCACCCATGCCCTCATAGTGAGAGCAATCTATTCACTAGCTCAGTGAACAATGGCTCGATGGGTGGACAGAAACCTGTGGAATGACTTGTGAAGTGCTCCCATCAGAAGCTTCAGGGCATGGTGCTTGCACGATGGGGCCTGCATAGACACACAGATTCCAATTTAAAGGTAAAAAAACGCCCCAAGCACTGACATGGTAGGGAGAGGGCTGCCTTCCATATCTGTGCTAGTGCTTTGAAAAACAGTTTTGACACCTTGGGACTTTTAACCAAATATTGGGCACTCTCAGCCTTTGGTGTGCTTTTAAGTCACAGAAATACCAGGTAGCTTATTCCAACACTGAACTAGAGAATCCAGCTCAGATCAGCGTTTTTGCAGACAAAAATCAAGAGAAAAAATTTAACTGAGGAATAAGTCAAAAATCCCATTCAAAATCATGTCTAGCACCCAAAAAGTTGACTTCTGCTGCAGCTGCAAGCCAGCACTTCTCTGCATTCAGGGCTGGTTATCTAGCTAGCTGAGGAAGAACCTATAGGTGAAAGACATTCATGCCAGGGCTCCAAGAAGGCAAATTACAATGAAAGGGAGCAGCCAGAGATCCGTTTTCTGCTCCTAAGACGTGAAAAGCACAGCCAGTTAACAAAATGGTGTTTGCACACCACCAGCAAAGCCATTCAGGAGTTCAGGGGCCAAACTTCTGCCTTTTGGCACCAGAGATGCAGAACTTTACCTGTTAGGATAACAAGAACATTGGAGACCGCAGCAAGAGATACCATGAAAGACAGACTCGGTCACAACACAAAGCCATTACATGCCATCTATCTGTAGATTAGTTCCGTAGCATGCCCAGCTCTGGGATACTAGAGTTACTTATTGAAGATGAGCAGTAATACTTATTACTGAAAATGAGCAGAGACACTTACTGATACTCCCCTAAAAAAGGACATCTATAATTCTTTCTGATCTGTGAATGTTAAAATCTTCACTAATTTTCCTAAATACAACCTGAAGCAACCAACTGCATGAACTTAGAAATGCCTGAGAGAAAAGAGTTCATTCAGAACATCATTTGGTACAAAGCAAGTGGCTTGCACAAGGCATTCTGCCTCAAGTGTCCTTTCTCCTTACCATACATCTTGCCTTCGTCTGACAAGATAATCTTCCGCCGTCCACATGGTGGGTAGATGGCTAGCGCTTCCTGGAAGCTCTGCTCAATGTCCGGACTCCACACACCCTCAGCGTCATTGTCAATAGGTTTGTCCAAGGCCTCACTGCCCCCTGAGTCGTTGCTCCCCTCAGGGGAGGTGGGAGAACTCCACTCGTTGGAGGTAATGGTGCCAGCTAGAAACTCCAAGGTGCGACACGGAGAAGCAGACTCAGAACCTGTGATGACAAACACATCCCATCTGTCAGTTACAAATTCTCCTCTGCAGGAAAAAAAAAAAGCAAAAAAAAAAAAAGCAAAAAAAAAAAAAAGGAAATAAAAAGAAAAAAAAAGTTTAAAAAACCTCTCTGAGGAGGGTTTTTACTTCAAGTTTACCTTAAATGGTAACACAACCCCATGCTTGATTTCTCTTTAGGCTGAGATGAAAATCTTTTCTACAAATCCTTCTTATAAAACAGCCTGCTCCCATACCCCTTTGGCTCATTAAACATCACTTCCCAATCCTCAGACGCTATGTCTTCTTGCCTGTGTCTTTGTCTCCTAATTTCTTTCTCCCTCTGCTGCCATTATCTGTGTGTTATTTAACTTTCTGAAGCACGCATACAGGAATCCAGTCTGTGTGAAAGCATATACAAAATAAAGCAATGATGAATTACGTAGTCATCACTGAGCACTGAAATTTTCTTAGATACTGTTTCACTGGATCAGAGTTGGTAGCCGGTGTCATTTTTAACACTGACATTTCTTCTTCCCAAGGATCAGTTGCACTCCAAAAAAACAATTTCTGGAGCCAGACAGTTTAATGCAATGTCTCCCAAATCTCAGCACTATATCCTGGCAGGAGCAGAAGGCACCATGAGTAAAAGCATGAAGGCACTAGGTTGCAGGTCAAGAATCCTGAGTGCTCAGCTTGTTTTCACTGCTCATCTTCAAATCGACCTTGGGCAAATTCCTTCAGTTCTCAGTGCTCTCTGCTCCCTCATGTTTTACCAGTCTCAGGCTATTAGATTTGCCACTGGGCAGGAGCAGAAACTGGTTTCTTATTGAAACTAAGGAGGCAGCTGCTACCTTTTGAAAAGTACAATAAGTTATAGCCTGCTCCTAAAGTGCAGGCTGAAGTCATTGAGTGGAGCTGCTAAAACACTCATTCAGAAAGTCTGTATGGACTTCAGACCATACAGACACTTCCAGTAAACTATACAAAAGACATAGGGCTTTTAAAGACATGGATCATTCCCCTGCCTCAATCTCAAAACCGCTAATTTACTTTTTTAATAGTTCTGTTACCTGAGCTACAAAGAGCGCTCACAAGCCACCATTTGAGAATCCAGTTAAAAAGTTCAAAATTTCCCTGAGAATCACCACATTGAGCTGGGTAGCAAGAAAATCAGAATAAGGATTTTTGTTTGTTTTTTGCAAGAGCAACAGAATTATCAAACCTGTACTGAACGAGAGCAAAGAGAGAGCTCTGATGTGCCAAGTCAGACTAGCTCAGAAATATCACAGTGATAATGTAAAGGAGGACAGAAGAGAAATTTGGGCATGGTCTACGTACAAAACGAGCCAGAACGAAATCTGTGCTGTTACTGGTAAATGGGAAAAGCAGGTCCATTCATTCAAACTTTAGTTCAAAAATTCTGGGCTCATGGCTCCAGAAGCTTTTCTGACATCAACTGCAAAATCCCTTACGTCACACTCTCCCCATTTTAAGCCTCTCTTTGGATTTCTTCTTTACAAAATCTCCTCCAAGACCATAATGACTATTTTTTTAATAAAAACTGTAATTATTAAGAATTTTATAATTCCAAAAGCTGAAGCTGTAAAGAGTTGAAAACACTGGCTGTCAGTTTTGCTGCTCCTTGATTACTTTAGACGGCAGCAGATACATATTTTACATGTCCACCAAAAACTCAGGAACGAAACAAAGATAATGCAGATGAATTTAGTAATTTCTAGACGCAGTATACTTTTTACACCAAGGTGCAACACTTTAACAAGTGCTTCACACGCACATTTAGAAAAACAAGTATATATTTCCTGTGATAATGTTTTGAACACATGAACCACTGGCACGGTCTACCACTGTCTGTCCATCCATTTCAGCCCCTGCACTAGGTTACTTCAGTCCTCTTGGCCCATGCTATGTATTTTCAGTTCTAATGAACATGGAAAGAAAGAGTAAAGTGGGAGGTGGAGGAAGCAGAAAGGGGAACTCACACCACCAGGATAGACATCTCAAGCACACAGTGAATGGCACTAAAGCAGGCAGTGTGACTTTTAAGAGGTCCTGAAATGAACAACAACAGTTGCTTTCCTTCACCAAGCATCTATCACCAACACATCCCCTTTCACTGGCAGATGCTCAGTAAAAAATTACACAGGTATTCAAGCCACTGTCTTGTTCGGGAATAAGGATAAGGGAATACTCCTTATAGAGGAGTAAGCTTTTCACAGGGGTACTCTGATGGAGAAACAGAAGCTATCTGTTACAGCCACTCTTCTTTTGATATTTCTCCAAGCATCCCTAGCCCCTGGAGGCTGTCAAGATCCTCTGTATTTAACACACATTAAAATCTCCACAAATACAAGGCACAGACTAATTTTAAGTGAGAAATGGCTAGAGTTCAGAAAGAGGCTGAGAAATGGAGGAAAGAAAGCTAAGGTGTGAGAGCAAGGTATTCATAGTGCTACCTGCATTTGGAGTTGTAAGTCTCTTAACAGCCAACAGGCTCCTCACCAAGTGAAGACACCTGTAACTGCTCAACTGTATGACTCCTAAAGTCATGGTCACTAGAAGCTACAACCTCTGCTATCACGACAAATCTCACAGCAATGCATTCACATAGACAAAGTCATCTCCTAGGGAATATAGCCATCGTAACCATATAAAGCACCCATTTTAATTCCAGTTATTTTCATCTCCTTAATGTCCATGCCTACATAGATGAACACCTAGCAGGTGATTTAAATATGGCACACTTACATTGGAAATGAAGCAAATATATCTGAAGCATAACTATCCCCTTCCCACCAGTCCCCCAGTTGGTGCCTTGTCACATTTTACAAGGCTTCACACCTGCACCAAGCACCTTTATAGACAAAGGAAACTCTGGGTCCTTTCTGATCCAAGCTTCAGAAGAAGTGGAGAAGAAAACATGCTGTATTCAGTTCAGTGTCAACTCCCAAGACTCCCTTCTCCAAACATAAAAGAGAAGTTGTGCCGACTTAAGCAAATGTCACTTGTATATTCAGGGAAGAGACAGAATATGTGAGCTGTATCTCACACCAGTTTAAATCAAGGGTGGTGTGGAACATAAGAGCCATGACAGAAGAAATTCTACAAATCTTGAAGTGATCAGATAAATTTGCCTTTTTTTTGATAACTTCCAAAGAAATCCCATAGGCTAAAATGACCAAGGAAATCCTTACAACTCTATGTCTCTAGTTCAGTAAGACGCCAAGGGCTTAAAGAGCCTGCAAAGTTTTCTTAAATAATGTTGCTCAAATAGTAAGCTCCACGTGCAATCCTAGGTGATACTCTGTGCTCAGAAGCAGTGAAGTGTAACACAGGGAACCCTGCTCGGCACTACCTGGTCTGTGGGTCTCTTTGTTGGCTGAATGCTTCAGGCCTTTCATTTCCTGCCTGTTGATCTGAACTCTGAACTGACTGGTAGCCAAAGTGGCTATTTATTAAACTAAGCAAAGCAAACTGTAGAGAAGCTGGGAGCTAAACTCTATGGTAAATGGCTTTATTAGTATGGCAAATTGAAAAAGCATCAGCGGAATCACTTTCCATTGAAAAAGAAATCTGGTTAAAACCAGCATTTTTCAAACACATGCTAATATTGAATGCGTTATTCATAAGGAAAGTTTGAATAATATTCATTAGTAACTATTTTAACAAAATACAAATTTTTCAGTTAGCATCTAGCTTTCAGTTTGCTTCTGGTTTCCCATTCAACCAACAGTAACTACACACCAACATCTTCACCAACAGATAAATTTAATGGTGATTTGTATTGCTGAGTATCCTACCATCAATAATATTCTAGTACTTGTAAATTGTTGGGTTTTTTTAAGTTCTTCCTGTGGCAGAGCTTGCAATCACCAAGTTTTCTTCTGATGTGGAGGGAATTTCATTTTGAAATCACTAAACAGACATCCCAGTTCCCAGGCATGCTCATACAGTTCCATCCCCATCTGAATCTCCTTGCCCAGTACAGTTCTTAGGATCAGAGGAGTCTCAGGATGTTGTCCTATTCTCATAACAGGAAGTTTTGTCACAGGTCCCAGGTTTGGAGTTTGTTCTCTTCATATTCCCTCAGTTTGAACTTACACTCTACTTCTTGGCTCTTGTATTTTATTAGTGTACCTTACAGTTGTTCTTATTCTGATCCTACTCTTATTTTACCGAGATAATTAACTACCTTTGTGGGGTCCAGTCATGGATCCTCTCCCTGGATCAAAGACATAAGCCCCTCACAGCACTTCCATCTCCTGTAACTCCACAGTAATTTTACTTCCTTCTCACATTTCCTCCCTCTGTCCAAATAACTGTGTCTTATTCACTCCTGGCCCCTGTTCTTCTTTCTGCCATGGCCCATCTCTTAGTGAGTCAAAAAAAAAAGAGCAGACTTTTGGGTCAGAGGAAAGTAAAAACACGGAGAAAGCACAAAGATCTTTCAGCTCCAGCAGCTTTCCAGCAGCTTCAGTTTAACTGTTCTGATGCTGGTAATTTCAACACCAACTCCTTCCTTTCATGGTATCTCACTGAGATGCAGAAATCCTGCAGGGCTAGACAGCTGCTGAGAGCACTTCAGTGAGGTCTCACTGACAGGGAGCACATCTTTAACAGATTCCCTGGCCTGACACATCTGCTTTCTAATATTAATCCCTCAGTCATTACTGTTGGTAACAGCTCCCTCTTACGTGTTTGTAGCAGCTGCTCAATACAAAATCATACTTTCTTGAGGATCTGAAAAATTGCAGCCAGCTGTCTCCAGTTGTTCAGTTTTCTTAGAGCTGCTCTGTCCAAAAGATTCTCCCCAGTCCATAGCCACCCCCTCTCCTGCTGGAATTGAAACTGAGCAGGACACACTAGCCAGAGACATCCCTGCTCACTCACCCCTCCCAGGCTGGAACTCTTGCCAGCACAGCCATGTGGAGTCTGGCAGAACAATTCCCCTTCTGCTTCTGAGCTGGCTGCACTGTGAACAAGTTTCAGGAAGAAAGTACCTTTATCCTGGGCCTTATTTAATGGAACTGGAAGCTGTGGGGGTAGGGACTGCTTCCCATTACAGGTATTCCTTTTTATCATTGTAATGTAAATAAAATAAAACAATTCTGGTATTCACTACCTTAGCAACAGTAGTTCACTACTATAGCAGCAGCATATCACTGAATCACAACATCTTCATTTATGACCAGCACAGAATTTCAGAAAAGAATGATTTTGGTCGGAAGAGAAGACATCCTGCTGCTCAAACCACAACTCTAGAGTAGTTTTGACAATAAGAAAATCCGGAAACAGCACCAATCGGTCAGTTACTTCCATCCTGAACACGCCAACAAATGAGCTTACGCAATGCAGTCATACAAAGAGATTTGCGTTGAGGAAAGCAACAACTTGGAATACTACAGAATCTATTGTGCAAGTTATGATGGAAGACAGCATTCAAACTTACCAAAGGAAGAAGTCCGGGAAATTCAACAAGCCACTACAATAACAGCCCAGTTCCTCTGAAAGAGAAGAATGAGTGCAATCAGTAGATGAGTAGCTCCAAGGGGGTGGTGCAACTCAAAGACTGCAGGGAAAAGAAAAAAAAAACCACACTGGAAAGGGAAAAGGTGGGAAAGCAGCTAATCAGCAATGAGTAAGGTCTGTTAAAGCCCCCATGCAAGAAAGGACAGAAGTCATGAATGTGTTCACAGGGTCTCTACAGAGCGAAATAAAGATGCAACCGCAGCAAGACCAACTAGCACTGAACTACACCTAGGAAGGTAACAGAACTTTTGCAGCATCAGCCAGCAACCCGCTGCTTGGGCTCCTCAGGAGCTGTGCTCCCATCATGAAATCAGCCTGGAGGGAGCACCACTCAGCTTCAGCAGCTAGTGGGGATGGGTGGGTGCAGTTCACTGAGCCTTTGGAGTTGAGCTTCGCTCAAGCACTCAGCAACACCTTCGCCAAATGGTGAACCAGGCTGCAATCCCGCTTTTTTCCCTGGGCCTCCTGCAATGCTGGCTATTTTCTGTGGACATCTCTATGCACCCAGCATTACCACAGCAATGCTGCTTAATCCTGTGAATAAAACCAGCCAAGGTCTTACTTGCTGTAGGTGAAGCAAAAGCTCTTAACAGGCAGCAGCACTAGGCAAGGAAAACAGAACTTTCATTTCTCTGTGTGTATTGGGCAAGGTAACATAATAATTACCTCTGCAGGCTGCACTGTGAGATGTTTGTCTCCATCTCACCACTGAGTAAGACTGGTTTACAAAGAAACAAGCACTACTAGCCTCAGATCATACCCAACCTCAGCGTGGGCTCCAGCCGAAGGCTTACATAAAAGCAAGCTTGGTCTGCTTGCTACACTGAAACTGCCTGCAGCAGTTGCGGTTCCAAAGGTAGCCCAGTTCCCCAGCAAAGCAAAACAACACTCTTAAATGATTGCAGTAGCTGAGCTCTGGCTGAAACAGAGGGAGGATGCAGTGACCAGCACAGTGGTGTAAATCAAAACAAGCAGAGTATAGAACTTCTATCAGTGCAGCCCTGGATAATGCAGTCAAACAGTATGTGATTAGATAAGGCTGTGTGTGGCCTTGCACACCATCCAATCAGTTACATTTCTGATAAAGGAAACAGCACACAGAGCCTTTGCTGCGCTAAGGAGGGGAGGAAAGAAATACACAACCCAACAACAAAACTCAAAGGCTGGTTCTGCTCCCTCTAGTTTAGGGGTGGCCAACCTGGGGATCGATCCCGAGACACAGGCAAGTCATGCACAACTCCCATAGACAGGTTACATCACAAGGCCACTAGCCTTGGACTGACAAAACGATCGCTGCGTGATCTACATCTCAGCTGGGCAAGCACAATAAGCCAGCAAAGGCAGCAGAGATTGACACTGCCAGGTTGCCCTGGGACTGAGACACACAGTGGCTGGCCCCAGACCTCAACGGAACAGTGCAATTCCTGGGGAGTCACAGTTATCTCACATGTGGGAATGAGTTTCAAAGCTTCCTAAACCAATGAAGGTTGTGGCAGGGTGAAAATGGTTACCCAACCTTGTGCTAGCAGCAGTAGTCACCAGGAGTCATTGTTCCAACAAGCACAGAGCTGGTTAGAAAGCAACGAACCAGGAGAAAGTCCAGTAATCACATCTCTTTTCTACCACAGAATCACCAGCAGCGTCAGCTAAGGTTTAAATCACAGCTGTCCCTTCAAGTATAGGCAGGTGTAGACGCTGACAGATTAAAATTACTCGAGTCTTACCAAACCAAGCTAGAAACAGAAATAAATACTAGTATTTTCCCAAAGAATATTATTCGCTTCATTATTAAAGGAGAGGGAAACTTTAATGTCAACCTAAAAAGCCATGCTCCTTACCCACTGAAAGTCAGTTCTGAAAAATCTCACCAGACTCAAAAGCCTCCAATTTATCTATGGAAAAAAACTATAGCACAAAGTGAACCACCCAATGACAAAATCAGACTGTGGGCAAAATCCAGACATTAATTTCAAGACAAGAAAAGATGAACTTTAAAAGTGATTTGCAATTGCAAGTGGTGTAACTTCAGAAGGGCTCATGGTTTTCCTTTGGAAACCAGTCATCTTCTGAGCCTTTCCTGACCAGTAACGGGAAACTGAGACATTCATAATGCCCATTTTATGGTACCCAGATTGAGTTCTTATTTCCTCATCCTGCCTCCTGTTCCTGACATCTCTTAACCTCTTGTCTAGGACTCAAGGGTAGATGTCCCAAAAAAAAACCTCAGAACTGTGACACACTTAGCTTCCCATGACACCAAAATGCCACATGAACTCAGACAGAAGACAGGTATTTCCAAATCTCACCCAAAGCAGTGAAAATTTTCAAGTCCAAGACTATAGCCAGACTTCAATAAGAGAAAGAGCTGAACCTGAAGCTAAGAGATTTCCAACAGTACTTATATAGAAGTGCTGATCACAACAGCTCGGGAACACAGTCAGATTTCTGCATCTGCAGTGCTTGCAGGCAGTCTATGTTGTGGGCACGACCTATGCGGCCAGGGCTAAGGCCCTCACCAACGCCTTAAAACAAAAGCAAACCACAAACTGTCAGAACAGGTATACAAAATGGGACCTCAAGTCAAGCACCCAATTAAGCACGTGCCTGGATTTTAGTAGAGTTAGGAGCTTACAGGTGTTTGATACTTTTACTAAGCAAATGCCTAAGCAAAGAACAACCATGAAACATCTGCATTGTATGAATGAATCCTACTCACAGCTACCAATCAAGCTTCACCCTCTTGGGCTATTCCAACTCAGTTTTGAAATACACGCTCCACCTAGAACATCTGTGAGGTGAACATTCACTGCTTACACTAAGACCATCACTTCCTGAGGGCTTACACTGAGGAAAGACCACCAGATTTACTTTTACCTAAAATACCCTAGCAAACAGACAACAGCCATTTTAGCCAGGCACCAGTTCTCCTACAACTTTGACAAAAGAAACAGTAAAGCCACCGTCAACTCGGACTAGTGTAATTTTGAGCTCTCAATTGAGAGGGAGAACTCTTCTTGTGGCATAAACATATTATCCTATCCAAACTGCTGATCATGCAGGGATTATGAGTACCTGCAAATTGCAAGTACAACCACAGCCCTCAAACTGGAATCACTAAGCAAAAAAAAAAAGATAAAGAAATGACAACACCTGAAAAACATAGGCCCCCGGATACTACAGGAAAGCAAAAAAACACTGAACTCTTTGCCCTTCCAGACCCTTCTTGCCAGGAAGGTCAACAGGTTATATACCTTCTGCTGGATTAATCTACAGGAGAACAAGGGCAGCTAGCCAAGCAAAACTAGATTCTTAAAGGGACACAGCTAACAACAAACTTGACTCCAGTTTTTACAATGCGTTCTTACAGACAAAACCTGTGACCAAGAAGGGTGGTAAAAAGATAGCTCCTTCTCTGTTTTTCAGTTAGCTTACTGGGTGAATAGAAACAGAGATTTACACTGTTTCTCCTGCACAGTCATTTTCTTCTGTTCATGTAGATCCTTCACAAAGGAATGGGGGTGGGGAATCCAATGGGATTTTACTTATTTTTATAAAAATAAGTCAAAGAGCAGGTACTTGGAAGAAAATCTTCTTATGCAAACCTCTGTTTTACACCTGTTTTTTTTTTCCCAAACTGACAGGATTTTCAAACCAGCAGAACCTCTCTAAATCCGGCTAATCTGGTATCAGTGAGCCTTATTTCAAAGAGTTTCTATGAAGAAGTATGATCAAGTAAAACGAACTTAAAATACATCAGCAAATCCTTCCTTTCCATTTCAGCATACACATGCTCAGTGCTCTCTTGACTTTTCCTCCTTCACTTAAAAGTAGTTCTGGTTACAAGAGATTAGACTTTGCCTGGACATCTGTCATTAATGCTGTTTGAAGGGAGGCACTTTGAGGACTACCCTAATTTATTTTCTCTTTGGCAACAGCAAAGCAGATCCTTCAAAGGCTTGTATGTAGGCTCTGAAAGCCACTGGCACTCATGCCTCAGAAGTACAGCAAAGTAAAATACCTACCCTTTGGCAATCACACTTTAATGAAGGTAAGAACAAGGTAATTATAAGCCTACAATGGAACAGAAAAACAGAGCTAGTGACTCAGCCAGTGGCACCAGGAACTGGAAAACCTGCCCCTCCCTAGCAGGAAAACTCTAATTCATATGGTGTTAAAAACAAAGGGGAGTGACTGCATCATCTCCAGAAAAAGGAGGACCCGAGGGGCAGGAAACAACAACAATAAAACCCACCTAAAACCAAACACCACCAATAAAAAACACACACACACACACACACACAAAAAAACAAACCACAAAACAAAAAACCCAAACACCACTCAGAAGCTCCAAAAAAAAAAAAACCCAAACAAAAAATCCCAAAAGAACCAAACCCACCACCTCCAAACCCCCAAAACTCCTAATTTCTAGTCTCACACCTTTTAATGAGCTCCAAGCATGCGAATTCTTGACTTTTTACAAGGCTCTACAACGAGACATGTTGGCTATTTATTTAGCATGGTAGTAGGCATAAGACAGAAGTTGGAGAGAGGAGCATAAACTACTGTGAACCTTGATAAATTTGGTTGTTCTTCAAAGTAAGACAGAATTTCCATGAAGTTTGCAAACAAAAAGATACAGTGCATGATGTGATAGGTTTAGATTTAGAACAGCATTTACTACTCTCCAAGGAAATCACAGCTGAAAAATTACTTCAAATTGGCTTTGGAGAGTATTGATCATATTATTAGAAAATTACCAGATTCAAAACCTAAATGTAATTATATATACCAATGGAACCAAAAGGTACAGGGGGCATCTACTGGGCTGCTTCAGGGATCTCTACCAGTCCAGTTTTCTCTAACATCTTAGAAACCTAAGACTGAATAAAGGGAATGCAATGAAACTCGCAGGTGATACAGAATGAAGTTTACAAACACCAGTGAATAGAAACACTCAAAGGGATTTAGACAGCTCAAAAACAAACAAGAAAAGGAAGGGGGACAAATAAGACCATGCGAAAATAGCAACGCAAAGAAACTGAATAAACAATGAAACAAGCAGTGAAAAAAAAGAGATAAATGAAGGAAAAAGCCCTGCCAGAAGCAGGAGCTAAAGACATACAAGAGTGAGAATGCTGAATAAATGAGAGTTGTCTGCAAAGCAAATGCTTTTACAGAATGACCAGTGTAACTTTTGTCTGCCTATGCTCAGATATCACTCCAGGCAACAGAGATGAATCACCTCCAACATGTGGAATATCAGATCTCATTCCGCAAAACTAACAGAGATAAACTGAAGACTATAAAAAACAATCATTAGGCCTAGAACAATAGATGTTGAAAAATGTTTAGTCTCATTAGTAGCTTGTAAGAACCTGGAAGGTGCAAAGGCAGAGTAAGTAATCGTTTCACAGAAATACACACCAAGGCAGTAGAGCAAAAAACTTTTCTAATAATGAAGTACAGTACACTGGGCAATGCAAAACTTGCCCAAGAAAATTATTGAAGATCCACTGCACAGCATCTGGGGAAGGAGCAGGGCACAGAGGACAAGGGACACAACAAAAAACAAACAACAAGTGAGCAAGGGACAAACTGGAGCTATAGGGAAAGCATAACAGATCTTTAACAGAAAGCAACAGTGAATTTTTGCTTGCTTAAGATACAGCCATGGCCAGATAAGACAGAAAAATAATTTCATTATCACAGGAGCAACTACAGGCATGGTCCAAGGAACTATTTAAGGTGTGAAAAGATGGCAATATTGCTAAGGAAATGTCCATTCATCCCCACTCCCCATCCCCTTGTCGTTGCACTAGCTTCTCCAAACACACGAGCATTTACGTGACCACATGATTCACTGGACTGGAGAACAGAGATGGCTGATCAGCCCCCTGGCCTGGGTCCATAAACAGCAGTGCCAATACCCATGCCAGTGACAAAGGAAAGAAGTGTGACAAATATGGACAGTTTGAGGCTGTGCAGACAGGTTCTGTCTACAATAGCGGCAGCCTGAAGCCTTTGTGGACCCATCCCTTGAGTTATGTTGTGATGGAACCAAGAACTGAAAGATACAATCAGAAACAGACATATAATGCTGAGGAAGGAAAGCTGTGAACAAGTACAATGTTGCTCCAAACAACTCCAAGCAGAACCTACTGGAAACTGTAATTCTCAGCAACCTTCTCAAAACTTTACTCACTGTATTCGAGTTCTGTGAAACAAATACCCGAGTAAGAAAACCAACAGCAACTGTGATTTTACTTTAAATCACAAAGAAAATTTGGCACCATGGAGCCCTTTTTCTCTTCACAGCTTGACAGTACTATTTTCACACAGTTTTCCCACAGTTGTTCTGTAATACGCTAACATTACAACACTTATCACAGCAATAACCTAAAATACTTCACAGCAATCAGTAAAATTCATTTTAAAAATCCAAAAGATGTAGCAGGAGCCAGGACAGTGGAGAAATTTCTAATGCTCACTCTCACGAACAATAACTGCTCCCAAGATCACCTCCAAGAGGATATGAACAAGGAGCTGACTGTCCAGTTTAGAGATGATAGACTTTGTCACATGCTCGAGTTGAGGGAACTATCCAGACTGGGATTTAGGAAAACCCTGTAAGGTCACTGCATCCTGGCTGACTGCCCTTCGGTCTGCTATCACAAGTTCCAAAGAAAACCCTAGACTCCATCAGCATCCAACAGCCCCGATAAATAACCCCCTTTGTATTATCTACAGCAGGATCCAGGTTCTTCTCTGTCATCAGAAAAAGCTATCAAGACCAAAAGGTGTTAACTGCACAGATGATAGAACAGCAGTTTCAACCCGGACCTAGCACTTGTTATATTCCCAGTCTGTTCTGTTCCTCCATGTTACCCTCTGCCATGTCCTACTGCCCACTTCGGTCTGTAGAAGAACAATAAAACCTCTTACATCTACACAGACAGATGGACAGACAGATGAACGAATGCTCTGCTCACTTGCACACAGTGCAATCAAAACTAGGGGAAGCCGATCTGAGTAATAGGAAACAAGAAAAAAAAAAACCAAACAAAACACAAAACAATCCCCAAGTCTCCTTCCCTCCCACCCAGCCCCCGGCACTTGAAAAGCGCCTTGCGCTGTTTATTTGTAGAGGATTTGCAGAACTTAACTCCTAAGGTTAGAAAGTAGCATGAATGTAACTTCAGGTTAAACAAAAAAGCGTAGATCAGTTGTGGTTGGTTCTGGTTTGTTTGGTGGTTTCTTTTTGTTTGCTTGCTTTAAGATATGTGACCATTCACCATAAAGTACCTCACAGAAGTCGTTAAAATACACTGAGCTACACTCATTCTCCTTCTACAAAAAAAGCCTCATCTTTAGCATCCCATGCAAGGAGTTCTTTAACTGGAATTACCTACATGGAAAATTACTTGGAGAAGATTTTTGTCTGGGTTTCGGTGGGGCTTTTTTGCTTGGTTGGCATTTTTTGTGTGGCTTTATTTTTGTTTTCAATTTAAATCTTTTCCAGAGGCATGCCATCAAAACTCAACTCTAACTTTCGAATAACTAACTGCTCTGGGAAAACAGCATTTCTCATCTTTAGTAAAAGCCCTGTAACAACTCACATGCCTTCTCACGGATGGGTTTGCTTATGATTTTCGTTTGTTTGCTTTTCTCCATAATTTACATCAGAATTTATTACAGGGAGCAGTGATCCTCCTCTCCACCCATCCCAAGAACAGCTCTACAAGGGGCCCAGAAGCTCATTTTTTCCCCATTAGAAGTGTTAGCAGTTTTCAGCCGATGCCACAAGCAACCGAGTTGCTCAAGTCCCAGCGCCAGCAACCCCTCTCCGACGGAGGAACGCGCCGGAGCCTCCATTGAGGATGTTCTATCGCTTCCTTTGTATAGCTGTGCCTCCTCTGTCGCACACGATCGGCTCCAAACACACCCCCCCACCCCCCCTTTTCAACCCTGTCTCCCACACGCATCCGTACCCCTTCACCCCGCGCGAAAGCGGTGCTCGTGAAATAGCATGTCCTGACCTGAGCAAGGCGAGAGCGGCTGTTGTTCCGTAGGGACAGCGGAGACCCGCTCCAACTCCTCCTTCTGCTCCAGGACTTTCTGCCAAAAGAGCAGACGACGGCTGTTCCTGCGCGCCTGCCCCTCGCTCCCGCCCGATCTCCACCCCCGAGCCCGCAGGGGTGGGAGCGGGGGCTTGGGAAGGGGGCGCGGGCGGGTCAGCTTCGCGCTCGGCGACGCCACCGCCGAGTCGGAGGGAAGAGAAAAGTTGCCGGGGAGCCCCAGCGGCGCCCGGGGCGGCTCCGGGATCGGGTGGGCCCTCGGGACTCCCCCTTCCCTTGGTCCCGCAGCGTCGGGGACAGCGAGAACAATACCGGGCCGGGCGCTCCTGCCGGCCGGGTGTCCGAGGGGGGAGCTCGGAGCGGCAGCCCGGGTCGGCGGGAGCGGAGGCACAAAGCGCACACTCACCTGAGGAGCGCGGGAGCGGATGGCGGGACGGCGAACCCGGGCGGCGGCAGCGACGGCCACGGTCGGGCAGGAGTTCGGAAGGAAAAGGGAGGGTTTTTATTTCCCGTGGAGTTTGAAAGGAGGAAGTGAGGAATGCGAGGAATGAGAGTTGGTATGAAATGAACGCGGCCGTGGGAGGGGACTGCCGGCTAGCGCAGGGGCTGAGACGGGGCTAGGGAGGGGACTAGCGGGGAGGGTGGCGAGAGAAGTGCCGAGGCGGAGTTAGGAACAAAACCCAGCGGAGCCGGGCGCTCCCTGGCCGGGGACCGCGTGTGACCGGGGCGGAGGGAACGCCGGCAATAGCCGGAAGAGGGGGCCCGCGGGGGAAGGTCGGTCCTCACAAGGGGAGCGGAGGAAGGAAACTCCGAGCGGCTGAAAGCCGGGAGCGGCCAGGACCCCGCCGCCTCCAGGCATCGGCGCGATGCCCTGGCGGGGAGAGAAGCTGGAGTTCGCGTCGAGGCCGGGCCGGCTTCAGCCGGGGGAAAGAGCCCTGGAAAGGCCGCCGCTTGCCTGGTCCTTTCCCAGGGACGGGACTCCGGCACGGAAGAGATTCGCTAACCCCTTCGAGCAAGCGTGGCCCGTCGTCAGCACTTTCTCGAAGCCCCTTAGGGATGTGATGTGATTTCCAGCCAGCGTCGCTGCGCCGCTGCAAAAGGAACCAACCCCAACACCGCAAAAGTGGTTATAACAGTTTAACTGCCCCGAGAGCATTCCAGAATGTAAACTACTTGCCTAACAGCAAAGGGGTGTTCTCTGTGGCTTTTCTCAGTCTCACAGGGAAGCTACTCCTTTCCTGTCCATTCACACCGGAATGCCAACACGCTGCACTAGAAAATGCTGATACAAAGCTGAGAGTTGCACTAGGGTTGGAAAGCCACGTTCCAAAACCAAAAGCAGTAGTAAACCAGCAAGTAAATGTAACGATATCCTGTCAGCAGCTCTGGCAGTGCTGCTACACCAACAAAATAAACTTTTTCAAGTGCCCAACAGTAGACTTTGCCACAGGTTCCTGGTGTGCACATAATTACCTGTGGTAGAGTTATGACACACTTGGTTTTGTTTAAAACTTTGAAGTTCAATGAAAATACTGAAGAAATTGAATAAGGAAATTCTCAGCTTTCGGTAAGAATGCAAAGCTGAAATTGTTGTAACTCTTTTCAAGTTGCAGAGAAAAGAACAGGAGCTAGATGTGTCCTAAAGTCTCGGAAACTAAATGGCAAAACCCATTAACTTCATAACCTTAGTCTTGGGATTTGGAAGGACAACTCCAAATTTGCCATACAGGCACAAGTTACTCCTGGGGGAGATTCCAACTGGACACAAGAGGAAATGTTGTCGCTAATCAGCCACTGCAATAACCTTCTCATGGAAGTGTTGGACTCCCAGACACTGTCAAGATTCAGCTGGACAGGGTGCTGGAACATCTAGTCCAGGTCATGCTTTGCCTAGAAGGGTTGGACCAGATGATCCTTGAGGTCCCTCCCAACCTGGGATTCTGGGATTCCGGGATTCCACTTTTTCTATTTTTCTTCTTTCTGGCAGTGCTGAATGTAACTGATATTGATGAACCTTTTTAATGTGCAATTACTTTTCTTTGGAAGGCAATGCAGCAATATTTTATGAATAATTAAGATTTTAAGAAAAAAAATATGATACAGCTGTAAGAATACATATTATATATACAATGCAAGAATGAAGTTACAGAAGTCAACTATTTTGTGTTTTTTGTTTGTTATATAAAACCCTGCAGCGATCTCATTTAGCCACTGTTTCTACTAAGCCGTATTTAAAAATAAGTCATTTAACAAAAAACATGTATTAAAGGTAGCTCATTTCTCATCACACCTGTTCACTATGAATTCGAGGCCAGGTCTCATGATTATGTGACTAAGGGATTGTTTTGCTCCCATTTCCCTGCAGAATCAACATAGCTCAAAGAGAAGGAATTGAAGCCTATTCCTTCCTGTGAATCATCACACAAATTGTTTGCAGGACTCCATTCAGTTGCAGATGAAAACCTGCTCAAGAGAACAGAGGGGGTTTGGAGGTGGTTTTTTGGTGGTTTGTGGTGTTGGGTTTTGGTTGATGTGGTGGAGGTTTTTTGTTTGGTTTTGTTTTTTCCTTTTTTTTTTTAATTTTATTTTTCCTGTACTGGTGGTACTGTGAAAGCAAACTGTTCTGCTCAGAACAGGAAGTTGGCAAGCTGGTGACACCTAACTCTCCAACCCGATCCATACTCTGAATGATTTTGATGTGCAGCTTTTAAAATATTGGTTCACACTAAAATATATTACTTTCCCCTTAATAAATAAAGGGATCAATTCAATTAAGCATTAAAAAAAATAAATCCCTTGGTTTTGTCACAATTTTAAGCTGTTTTGTTGAGACAGTGCAATTGTTTGCCTTGTTCAGAAATGTTAAAGTGAATAATCACAAATTGCATCTTCTAGAATAAATTAACTAATTTATGTATTCTCTAAATGAAACATTACATTGCCAGAGCAGGTTCTGTTATAATAGTCTTTATCTTAAGTGAAGTTTGGTGAAGTTAGTTTGCTTCTGTATTTTTCTCCCCTTTGGGGATCAAAGAAGTGACCTCCGGCTTCCAATGAGGAAAGAATAATTCCATATAAACACATTAAGAGACAGAATGAGAAGACAAAAACCCTATGCACCACACAGTTCAAGAGATACAACAGTAACAGTGGGTAAAGGTGCTCTGCCTTCTTTCATGCAAGGGCTTTCAATTCTTACCACTTTACCACTGTAGCAGGCTGTTTTCCCGTTACTAAGGAAGCCCTTATACCAGTGTTGCTTTTCTACTCATCCTCATAACTGTATGCAGGGCCAAATCTCTTTGCCCTAGCATAACTTAAGCATCTTTCTGAATTCTGGTTTCAGCAGTAGTTCCAAACTGAAGTTACATATAACAGTTTGACATTGTGGCTGTCTCCGGCAAAGAAGGAATCTTTCCAGAGTTCAGTTTCTCAAGACTTTGCACAAACTCTTAGCTCTTGACCTGTAAATCACGGGGAAGGCTTTGCTTGTCTTCCTTACCAAGAAATCAATGTCAATTGAGAGATCTATAGAGCTGTTAATACCAAGTCAAGGAGCACACTGAGTAAAGTGAGAGTGGGACTGACCCCTAAAAGAGCAAGAAATTACTCAGTTTTATGTTTGTGAGCCAAGGATCTTAGAGCAGCCTAGTAGCTGGTTTAGTCTGCTAGATCTGCTTTTAGGATTCATATTGAACAGTTTAATATGCTTCCTTCATTGTTGCAAGATCTCTTTGGGATTTCAAGAGTGTTACATTTGCACATACTCAACTAATATTACTGTACTAAGAACAAATGCCTAGCAGTACTTCCTGCTCAGTTTTCTATCCCAACTAAATCTCACTTGGCTCAGATGGAACTAGGGGGAAGGAAAAAAAAAAAAGAGGTGCATGAAGAACTGGGCTTACACATCGAGAGCTGTGTTAAGTTTCAGATTATCAGTCCCACCATATCTCCTCTTACAGAAGTTCATACATCTCCCAGTGGAAACAGGAAAATATAATCACTTCAAATTGATGTTCCTCCTAGCCTTGTATTATTTCAGTTCTTGATTCAGAAATACACGGTACTGTACTTCAAGAGTACAATGGGTTCAGATGGAGGGTATGAAAATGAATAATGAACTATTTCAAAAGCCCTAACCGGATACTGGAAGAAACATTAAAAAATACGGGGCAGAGAAGTGCAACTAGCTTACAGAAAAAAATCAAATGGAAACCAAGAACTATACAGGAAGAACTGCTGCTGAGAAGAAAACAAAAAATAGAGACTAACTTTACATATATCCCCAGCCTTCTAAGTCTATGGGGAGAAAAAAAACCCAAACAAAAAAAACCCAAACAACATAAAAAGAACTGAGAATTACAAAGGAAAAGGAGGAGTAAGAAGGGAGATGAAATGAGATATATGACAGGAAGAAACTGAGGTAGTATCTACAGGAGGAAGAAAGAACACCCATAAGTGACAGAAAAATTCTACCAAAAAACTACCAAAAGAATTATAGATTTTTTCAATATATAAATTAGTTTATTTTCATTTAGATATAAAAGGTATAAATACAATTCATGTAAAACATTATCTGATAAAAGAGCACAGAATCAGTTAATCTGCCTGAAACCAGAGGCCCTGGCCCTGCTAGGATCATTTCATGTCAGCAAATAGCTTGAAGAGCCACTGCTGACAAACCTAACTGAAAGGATGAATAAAGGGATGCTATGGTGGCCTTTTGAGCAGAGAGAAAACCATGAATTCAAAGTTAGCATTCTGCCTTCAGGTCACCCCAAACTAACATAAGGCAGTTTCTTTCACACAGACCTAGTCAGAAAAAGAATCAAGATCGGTAACAAACTGACTTAGTTTTCTAGATGGACAAAGGGAATGCAAAGTCACTGGCAAAGAACGCAGAAGAGCACAAATGGAAAACAAACACTGTCAGGTCTTGACTCCAGCCTGATGAGTACATGAAGGCACAAAAGAGATACAGGAGTCAAGTTCTCTTCAGGGCAGATCTGCTGATGAGTTCATCTCAAGATGATGGCTCACCAGCTATACAGGCATCTGAGAGATGCGAGCTGAAGTTCTCAGCATCACTTCATAATTTACAGTTAAATACAGAGTTTGCACATGATTACCATAGTTGGTTGGTTGGTTTTTTTTCCCCTGGCAGTATCAGAAAATGTCTTCACAAAGTTTCATTATTTTGAAAGAGCAAGTGATACCTACCACTTCAAAGACTCCAGAGCCCAGAGCAATGAATCTGTCTCTCTGGAGCTTGAAACAGAGTTAGTCTGCTGACAGTAGCAATATCCAAAGATGGAGAACATCTATTCTTGTCTTGATAGAGGGATTAAGTTTTCTAGGATCATCATGAACATACATAACGGCCACAAAACAGGAAAGATAGTAACTGTTCTCTGCTTTAGTACACATGTGCACACTATGAGGCTTAACATGTCACAGCGTGCAGCAATTCACTCTGATGAATCAAGGCCATATGAATCAAGAAGCATTCCATGCTGTGACATACAGTCCCCATACTGTATATCCAGCATTAAAAATGGAGCACTGGAAGGGCACATTGCAAAGCCCTATGATACATTAGTTATTTTTTTTAAACTTACTGATGCCTTTGAAAACACCTGTAATTTTTTTTTTAGGTAACTCCTTCTTATATTTAGGTTAAAATTATTTATATAAAAATCAACTTCTATATGTCATGACTTGAGATTTAAAAAAAATAAAATCAGTCACTTATTCCTAAAAATGTAGCAAGTTTTACAAACAATAGACAAATAAAAAATAATTGTGATCAGCATACAGCCTATATTAAATCAATCAGAACACTGCTTTTCAGGAATAGAACTGTATACTGTACAGTTACAATAGTATGGTTACACTACCATACTTCGGCCAAATTCAGTCAGATTCTAATATCTGTTCAATCTCATTTTTCACATTGTTAAGAATAACAGAGACAGTAATGGATATATCACCAACTAAAAAGTAAGCATTTCAGATTTGATTGTTCTTTATTTGGTAAAAAGACTATCAGAGTCTGCAGAAGTCTCTCCTCCAGTTCCCTTCCACCCCCAATGTGCTTTTCATTACTCCATTGGGAATGCAAGGATGGGAATGAGTTTCAAGTCTGTTGCCCTCATTCACAGGCCAATTTACTATCAAAACTGGAGAGTCCAATAGCAAAGGCCTGAAGAGCACAGAGAGGATAATTATAGTCTAGAGTGAACACATCTTCTGCTACACGACCAAACTGCATCACAATGTAGTCAGCTGGGGAGAAAAAAAAAACAAAAAACAACAAAATCAGAAATGAACAATTGCGTAGCATAGCAAAGAAAAAACAAAGCACAACCAAAAAACCACAAATGTCTGGCAGTTCCAAATATATGTGGTTGGTGTTTCCATCCCTTCTCACCAGAGTGCCCTTGTAATCTGCAATCTACAGTGACTATTATTCTAGAGATTATCTTTCTTCTCAGAACCAAAGCTTGAACCACTTTCTCTTGCTAGCCTGAAGTCCTTTTCTTTCCTTCCAAGAAGCTTGCATTTACCTTCTCTTTTGCTGCAGCTATGGATGGTAGTGTCTGCACCCACCCCAGAAAAAGGGAGACCTTATATACTTTTCTTCACAGCTGAGAAGTCTCCAGTAATCCTGAGCTGATTTTCTCCACCCAATCTCCCTTTTCCAGGAATAGTGTCCTATTCCTTCCAAACCTCATGAAATAAATAGGGTTATCCCTGTTTGAATAAGCCACACACACTCTCCACCAGACTCTTACGGTCATTGTCATGCACAATCTGGAAGTTCTTCACCGAGGCCTGAGTGACTCTCCCATGGAAGTTCAAAACATAGGATTGAGTATCATCATTCCAGACTGGAGCCTTGTTGTGCAACTCAATGAGGTTCTCTAAGTTTTTGTTTTGCCATTTTGACAGCAGACTCTCATTTTCCTGTTCAGAACAAATACATTTATCAGATTTGGAATGGCTCTGCTTTTGATTACTACCTCTGTCATGTGTGTGTATTCTGTCACTTGAAGGTCATTCCCTGTTTAATGAAACACAATAACACTTAAACTCAGTCCTACTGAAACTTCTTGGAATTACCAGGAAGATACTTTAATGGATTCCCCATCCAAGTATTTCTTTGCACTCGATAAGCTATCACCATATTTTACCCAAACAAGAAAAAAAAAGAGTGAGAGAGAAGGATGTGTGTGCACAGGAAAGGGAGCAACTCAACAGGCCAAAGGATGACTGCCATCCTACTTGCAGGAATCCTTTCTGAGTCTCACAAGCTTTCTCCGATCCTGTTGGACCCAACTTTCATTTCTAACAATCTGAACATTGAAAAAAAAGAAAATAATCTACAATTATCTACAAGGAGGCTTGCCATACTGATCAAGGAGGCTTTAAACTAGACGTGTTAGGGGAAGGGGCATCATTCCATTCCAACACACCCAGTCAGTTGCCAGCACCTATAATAAATCCTCAGAGCAATGTACATATATTCCAGCCTCTCCAGCCAATGAGCCGGCTTCAGCTGGAGCTCGGCTCAGATGCCTATATACAAATGCTTGTAGCATGGGGAACAAACAAGAGGAATTAGAGATGTGTGCACCTCTACAGGGGTATGATATAATAGGCATCACAGAAACATGGTGGGGTGGCTCCTATGACTGGAGTGTTGGAATGGAAGGTTACAGGCTCTTTAGGAAAGACAGGCCCTGCAGGCGAGGAGGAAGAGTTGCCCTTTATGTTAAGGATAGGCTGGAGAGTATGGAACTCTGTCTGGGGACAGGTGAGCAGTCAACAGAGAGTTTGTGGGTCAGGGTTAAAGGGAGAATAGCTATGGGAGACATTACTGTGGGGATCTGTTACAGACCGCCTGATCAAGAGGAACCTGCGGATGAAGCATTCTATAGACAGATAGGAAAAGCCTCACACTCACAGGCCCTTGTTCTCATGGGGGACTTCAACCACCCTGACATCTGTTGGAAGGACGGTACAGACCGGCGCAAGCAATCCAGGAGGTTCCTCGATTGTGTGGAAGACAACTTCCTTCTGCAAGTAATAGAGGAGCTGACAAGGAGAGGTGCCATGCTTGACCTCTTGCTCACCAACAGGGAAGGGCTCGTTGGAAATGTGACTCTCCAGGGCAGCCCTGGATGCAGCGATCACGAGATGCTCAAATTTGAGATCCTCAGGACAGTGAGAATAGTGTGCAGCAAGCTCACTGCCTGGGACATCAAGAGAGCAGACTTTGGCCTCTTCAGGAACCTGCTTCGTAAGGTTCCATGGGATATAGCCCTAGAGGGCAGGGGGATCCAAGACTCTTGGTTGGTATTAAAGGATCACCTGCTACAAGCTCAGGAGTGTTGCATCCCAACTAGAAAGAAGTGCAGCAGGAGGGCCCAGGAGACCACCCTGGATGGATAAGGGGCTCCTGAGGAAAATTCAAATGAAAAAAGAGGCTTATAAAAAGTGGAAGCAAGGAGAGGTGGCCTGGGAAGAATACAGGGATGTTGGCTGGGAAGCTAGGGACCAGGTTAGGAAAGCAAAGGCCCAGTTAGAATAAAACTTGGCTGGGGATATTAAGGATAACAGGAAGGGATTCTACAGGTACATAGGAAATAAAAAACAGACTAGGGAGAATGTAGGCCCCCTCAGGAAGCTCTTGGGAGAACTGGCTACACAGGGTTTGGAGATGGCTGAGGTTCTGAATGACTTCTTTGCTTCGGTCTTCACTGGCAAAGGCTCTGACCACACCACCCAAGCCTTGGAAGGCCATCTTAAAAATCTGAAAGTGCACAAGTCCATGGGTCCTGATGAAATCCATCCGCGGGTCCTGAAGGAGCTGGCAAATGAAGTTGCGAAGCCGCTGGCCATCATATTTGAAAAATCATGGCAGTCAGATGAAGTTCCCGATGACTGGAAAAAGGGCAATATAACCCCCATTTTCAAGAAGGGGAAAATGGATGACCCAGGGAACTACAGACCAGTCAGTCTCACCTCTGGGCCTGGCAAAATCTTGGAGCAGGTTCTCCTGGAAAGCATGCTAAGGCACATGGAAAACAACAAGGTGCTTGGTGACAGCCAGCATGGCTTCACTAAGGGGAAATCCTGCCTGACCAATTTGGTGGCCTTCTATGATGGGGCTACAGAACTGATGGACAAGGGTAGAGCAGTTGATGTCATCTACCTGAACTTGTGCAAAGCGTTCGACACTGTCCCACACGACATCCTTGTCTCTAAATTGGAGAGACATCAGTTTGATGGATGGACCCCTCGGTGGATAAAGAACTGGCTGGATGGCCGCACGCAAAGAGTTGTGGTCAATGGCTCAATGTCCAGCTGGAGACCAGTAATGAGTGGTGTCCGACAGGGATCAGTGTTGGGACCGGTCTTGTTTAACATCTTTGTCAGTGACATGGACAGTGGGATTGAGTGCGCCCTCAGCAAGTTTGCCGATGACACCAAGCTGTGTGGTTCGGTTGATACCCTGGAGGGAGGGAATGCCATCCAGAGGGACCTTGACACCCTTGTGAGGTGGGCTGATGCCAACCTCATGAAGTTTAACCATGCCAAGTGCAAGGTCCTACACCTGGGTGGGAGCAATCCCAGGCACAGCTACAGGTTGGGCAGAGAAGAGATTCAGAGCAGCCCTGTGGAGAAGGACTTGGGGGTGTTGGTTGATGAGAAAATGAACATGGGCTGGCAGTGTGTGCTTGCAGCCCAGAAAGCCAACCGTATCCTGTGCTGCATCAAAAGGAGCGTGACCAGCAGGTCGAAGGAGGTGATCCTGCCCCTCTACTCTGCTCTCGTGAGACCTAACCTGGAGTATTGTGTGCAGTTCTGATGTCCTCAGCATAAGAAGGACATGGAACTGTTGGAACAAGTCCAGAGGAGGGCCACAAGGAAGATCAGGGGACTGAAGCACCTCCCGTATGAAGACAGGCTGAGAAAGTTGGGGCTGTTCAGCCTGGAGAAGAGAAGGCTGCGTGGAGACCTTATAGCAGCCTTTCAGTATCTGAAGGGGGCCTATAGGGATGCTGGGGAGGGACTCTTCATTAAGGACTGTAGTGATAGGACAAGGGGTAGTGGGTTAAACCTTAAACAGGGGAAGTTTAGATTGGATATAAGGAGGAAATTCTTTCCTGTTAGCGTGGTGAGGCACTGGAATAGGTTGCCAAGGAAGGTTGTGAATGCTCCATCCCTGGCAGTGTTCAAGACCAGGTTGGACGAGGCTTTGGGTGCTATGGTTTAGTGTGAGGTGTCCCTGCCCATGGCAGGGGGGTTGGAACTTGATGATCTTAAGGTCCTTTCCAACCCTAACTATTCTATGATTCTAATTAACTGCACAGTGCCAGGCCCTGGGGTGCTTCAGTAGAAAGTCCAGCAGGCTGCATGTATGCCTTAAGTAGGTTAAATGGGTCTAGTAAGCGATGTACAATGTAAAATGCAGAAAAATACAAACAGAAAGATACAAAAGAAGGTAAAACAGCACAATAAATTCAACAAACAGTGAATTACAGGGAGCTGTAGTGAGTGAAATATATATTATTTAATTTTAGAAGTTCTGCAACAAATTCCAATAATATATGCTAGAACTCCCAAGAAAAATAATCCAAACTGAAGTTATTTAATGGGAAAAAATTATCAGAAAACATCCCCCTGTGGAGATCTGACTGATATGGCTATAGTAAGTGTTTTTAGCATACAGATACAATACTAGATTTTTGAGGATAACATAAATAAAACCTAAATAACCTCCAATCTGAACCATGACTGAACTCTGTAACTCACATTTCGTGGACGTATTGGAATTCGCTTATGATTCATATTCATTCCTGGAATGATCACAGACATTTTTCTGGGACCCTTAAATCCTAACACGTTGGTTTCCTGAAGGATAAGGAAAGACATTTTCAGTAAATGAGATACTTCATCTCAAGGAAGGAAAGACAACAAAACTGAACTTGAGATCACATTTATATTGTTTTTTTAGAGATCTGCTAGCTACAACTGTAGTAGCAGTTATCTAAATGCAACTGTGTTTTAATCATTGAGAACAGCTTTCTGTTCTATTTTGAGAATGGTGTTAAGACACATACTACCTAATTTAGAATTCATCAGTTATCCTAATGAAGCATTTATAACAAAATCACAGAAGTGCAATTTCCAAGCATAATTTTGTCCATCTGAGGCAAAACCAGGCTAAAATCTTGCTTGTGAAGAAGCCTCAAATATGGTAAAAGACAAGTATTTTTGGCCTGAGACTATGTTACCCATACATCACCATTTAGGCTAAAATGTTCCTGAAAAAGTGAATTACATTCTTCTTTAGGTGTTTTTATTTGTGTTTACAAGCATACCTACAATTTTCTCTCAAATCATGCTTTTTTATAAATGATTAAGAACAGATCCAAAAGGCACAGAGTTCAGCACCTGTGCAAGCTTCAATCTTGAGTAGATTTTTCCAGAGTACTGCAGGAGACAGATCCAAGTAGACTGAATATAAAAAGCAAAGGGAAAAAAAAGTCTCGGCGTTCCCAAGCCATCCATTCAATAATGTCAACCAAAATTCAAGGGTCCATTTAAAGTGTTCTGTAACAATGTCAGTGATAACCTTTAAGATCCCCAAAGGCCAACTAAAAAGTCAAAATCTTTTGGAAGTACTGAACTGATTGATAGAAGTGACACTGCTTCTCCTAACACGCTAGTGCATTTTGCAGGCACAGAACAGAGGTCTTTGGGTTGCAGCCTCTACTATTTTGCTTCAGAAAATCTAGGGGCACATACAGGAATGAGAATACTGATTTTATTGATATTTAAACTTTATGAACTTCTTGTATATAAAAGTTCAGAGATCTGAAAAAACAACTTTATATTATCTGCTGTACTCATTTCAACAGCTTGCTGTGTACGAGTATGTAAGGAACTGAAGAATACTGTATACAAAGAAAATAACCTGACATGATACTGTTATGATAAATGATACGCTCACGTTTTTTTCCCCAGGTGACATTATGATCAATGGGGGGGGGGGGGGAATCAAGATCATGTTCCGATAGGTTAATGCACCTTCACATTTCTGCGTCATACCTGTGATAAAAGCAAAAACCTTCCACTTAACTATCCATCATTTTGTAAAGAACCTCAAATTTTATTCAAACTTCAGGATTGGAACATGAAACAAACAACGTTCAAGGCCAAGCTGGTCTAGTGGAAGGTGTCCTTGCCCATGGCAGGTGGTTGGAACTGGATGAGCTTTAAGGTCCCTTCCAACCCAAACCATTCTATGACTTTATGATGAGAACCCTCACATAATTCTAGAGTATCCGCAAGTGGCACCCTGAGGCCTAGACCAAGGTGATCCTCAAAACCAGAAGAAAGCATCTCTAGAACAGACAGCTATTAAATCATGATTTCCCACAGAACCATATCCTCACTAACCACAAGCTGCTACTGAAATAATACCAGCTCCTTCCTATCCAACAAAATGCCTTTGGTTCTGCAAAACAAAAAAATAACTCTACTTCACAGGGTACTCCCAGTTAATTCTTAGTGTCCACCAAATACCAGCTGGGCAAGAGGCAGTTCATGCTATGGCTGCCTCCATGTAAAGGATGTGCTGACTGGCCGCATGCCACAGGTCAGACAAGAAGGTTATCAGGGTGTTAGTCTGCATCTCTCTCGCTCCCTCCTTCCCTCATCACTGATTTGTTTGGGGTTTTTTCTTTTCTTTTTTTTTTTTTTTCCATCAAGCTTATAAGAACTTATCTTTGAAGCCTCTGTCCTTTGTTGTATCTGGTTGAAATTGGTCAGTTGGTTCCAAAGTTAAGTGGGGAAGGCTGCCAGGCAGCACGATTTTGTAAGCCCTGTTTCCTCTGTAACCAGGCAACAAAGAAGAAAAGGGGCAAAAGGGGAGAGGCACTACTTACATAACAAATAGCTGCAAGCTCCTGTCTTGTATGAGCCTTTTCCACTAGACCTTGTGCCTTGAGGGGGCTAACTCCATGGTCATAGACTGTAAATTTTGTTCCCATGAGGTTTGATCTAATGTCAGGTTATGGAAAGACAGAAAAAGAGAGAGGTGTCAGTGGAAAGTTTTGTTATCTTCTGAAGGTATTTGTACAGCACAGTGAAAATACTCATCTCCTGCCATCTGAATCTTCATATTGCCAGGTCAGTAAGGAGTGCCCACAGTAAACTGAGCCTGAACTTATCCTGGAAAAACATCAAGCCAGAATTCCTTATGTGAATTGCCATGGTGAGTGGTTAACACTGAAGAAAGGTTGCCAACTCAGGTGAATACAGATTACATTAAGCAGGATGATGCAAGTCCATTCTCTCTGAATTGACACCAGATTGTTATTCATATCCCCAACTCAACTAAAATGAAAATCCGATCTCTCTTGTCTGTAATTTTCACCTGTGGTTCTTACCGGAGTTTTCCAATGAAGCTTTCCCCTTCTCGGGATAAATCAGTTGGGTCAACTGATATGAGGTAATTGGATGTTTTGCTCTTTTTTCGTTTTCGCCCTGCAAGAAGGAATGTCTGCAAATACAAAACTTCAATCAAGACTGGAGCTTTGTAAGAATGCAGAAGCATTGCTACACATTGCTATCCAAACTGTTATCTCTCCATTTTTCACATCAATTCCCCTTTTTGTTCTGTACTGATATTACTGTCTCCACAATTCTGGTATCTTCCACAAGTGCACACCCAGAAATCCTATTCCTTCGAAAAGCTCACTCAACAGTGTAGATTTAATGCAACTGTCCTTTCTAGTCTTCCCTCCTTTTCTGCAGAGCAGTTCCATCTCCCTGCTCTTCTTTATCCTTGACATTTTTATATTTTTTTAAATTTCATCTTTCATTGTATTATGGCTTTCAAACCTCCCAATTCCCTCCTTAGTGCCTTGGCTTAATATGAGCTGTCCTCATCTGCATGCAGGCTCTCCTCAGCTTCTGGTCTCTTACCAGAAGCTCTTCCTTACACAAAAAATATTCTGTGGTACAAGTCTGATAGCCAAGATATTCTGCTGCTTCCAATACCTTTCTGTTGTCATCCCTTTCCAGATGCATGTAGTAAGTAGGAAAGAGGCCCCGGTCCATTCCCTTCTTATCTCTAGTGATTCGACACTTGACTGTAATACCACGGGGTGCAGGGTGTAATGCAAATTCCTCCAAGTTCTCTATTTCTCCCAGCTGGGCATCTGCTGAAAGGGATGGACTACAGGAAGCACCTGTTTCCTGTGGGAAGAACCATCATATTAGCAAATTAATATAGATCAGAGGCTCTGGTATTCCCCAAGAAAAGAAAGGTCTTTTAAAACAGAAAGATCTCATGTCTCAAGAAGATATTTTGGGAAAAGGAAGTTAAATGAGATACCACCCATATTTCTGTGAAGAAAGTGGCTGCAGACTTTGAGGAAAAATCAGCCCTCCAATGAGAGGGGAGAAAAAGTACCCATTAACCAGAGATGAGTGAATTGTGAAGAAGGGGAAAAAATGGGATGAGTCACTGCAAATATTCTTAGCAAAGAGCCTCTCTGCTCTTAGAACCTCACTCTGTGGGAAATCAGGCAGCATGATAAGCTGGACTCACAGATGCTGCAGTAAAGACAGGCCAGGATTTTTGTGACTGAAATGAGCACTGAGATTATGTTGGTTCAAAACAGTAGCTGAAATAGCTGATGGTGGAGCCAATGCTGGAAGAACCTTAGAACAGTGTATATACTCAGGATGCAAGTTATGGTCACTGATAAAACTGGAATTCTAATGGGAATCTGGTATAAGTCATTAAAATACTTTTTTTCTTAGAGGTAGCTGAATCCTGTGTATTGCAGAACACAGGAGAGTCCTCCCTTACTGGGCTTTGGAGTTGATGTTGGTGATTTATCCATATTCTTAGATACAGCTGGTAGGAAGTATGAATGATTACAGACACACAGTGACACATACAGACTTGAAATCCACTAGTGGATCTCACCCTCCCCTGCTACAGCATCCCCTAGCTGGTATCTCCAGCAGCTGGCAACCATAGCCCAGTCTCTCCCAAGTAGTCAACACCCAGATCTCTTGTACTACTCACCCATTCACAGAATCATAGAATGCTTTGGGTTGGAAGGGACCTTAAAGCTCATCCAGTTCCAACCCCTTCCACCACCACGGGCAGGGACACCTCACACTAGACCAGGTTGCTCCAAGCCCTGTCCAACCTGGCCTTGAACACTGCCAGGGATAGGGCAGCTGCAGCTTCTCGGGGCAACCACCTTCATCGTAAAGAATTTCCTCCTAAAGTCTAATCTAAATCTACCCTCTTTCAGTTTAAAACCATTCCACCTTGACTATTCAACTCACTATTTCAGGATATAACTGGTATTTTATGACTTCATACTCCATTTATTCAAGCTTACTTGAAAGCAAATAAAGTCTGAACAATTCAGAGAAACAGTTAAAAATATTTTTGTACATGTTTATAATTTATAATATTTTAATAATAAAATTTATAATTTTAATGTAATATTAATTTCTGCTGACACTTCCCTGAGAAACCATTACAAACAGATTTTTCACCCCCCAGCACCATCTACATTTGTATTTTAATATGAAATAGACCTACACCTACTGAAAGCCAGAAATAACTTAACTAGCCTAGGATTGTATGAGAAAGCCCATTCTTTTCTAGAGTACAGAACTCTGACAGCAAATAAAGCTTTTGCATATTAGCTGAAAATGCCTAAGTAATTTTTACAAGCATACAGTATTTTTTCCAGAGGAATCAGAGTCCTAGCATGTATTTACTACCAAAAAATAACTTCACAAACAAGTAACAGTAATAGGGACACAACATGAGTTTACATGTATTTAATACAAGTATACTTTGAGAACATCCTAGAAGATAGTTCCAAGCCAAATAGAAAAGGCCAAGTTTCAAGTACTCCAAAGCAACTTCTTAAACACACTTGATCAGATTTTATTGCCATTTTGCAATTGCTGCAACATTAAATCTTGCTTAACTTTATAAACTGAATAGCACATTATTATTTTTATATTATTCTTAGAAGTTAATCTTAAGTATGTGACCACTGCAGTGGATCAGGAACAGAGGTGGATACAAGCACACATTTCACTATTAGCATTATGTAGGAAACTCTCTTACTGTTAAGATAAAAAAGCTGTTTATGCCACACAAGGGATAATTTACTGAATTAAATACAGCAGCCAGAAAAGTTACTTGCTATAAAGCACTTGGCTAGCATTTTGAGAGCAGCCTAGCGGCATCAGTTATTGAAATCCAAAAGATTTGGGAGACACACATCTAACACTTTTGAACAATTAAGATCTCCTACCCACACAAGTTTTCAAATTGCTAACACATGTTTTGCACAGAAAGGAGATGAAGTGTTAGTCCTTAATTAAATAATACCTTAAGTTCTATCACACTAAATATTAATATTTAATCTATATTATAATCTTCAGAATTTCTTCATCCTACTTCACCACACAAATATACTCTTTTGAATAGTAGCATGGACTTTTAAGACTGCCCAAACCCTGTGCCCTTCATCTCATCACTAGCTCAAACCCTGGTTCTTCCCAGGTCTCTTCAACTCACTGGCTAGTACAGCATATAGTTTGTCAGCATATGTATGTACGTATGTATCTCTCTCACACACATAGGAGAGCACATTCATAAGGGGAACAGCATGATAGGAGTATCATGCAGTAATCGGGCACAAGGCTTCAACAGACAAGCATATTGTCTTGCAGCTGCTTACATGCATCTGGTGCCTTTTACTCCCTTTAGTCCCTATTTTCCCATGCTTATGACTTCCTGATCCACCTTATCCCCTTTCTTTTTCCTCTTCCCTTGCCCTAATCAGCCATGAAAGGTTTCTTCCAATCCCAAAATTTTCTGTTCCATCCCAAAATTCTGTTCCCTTTTACAGTCCACAATAAATACTATAAACCCTCAGGCAGCAATCGCTCTTAATTTGCACGGCATTCCAGAGTTTCTCTGAGTCATCTTGATGGCTTTTACACCAGAGACAATGGCCTAATCTGTCCCCTTTGAGAATCATAGGAGTAGCTGACTCACTGTGTTCCCATCTTCACTGATTAGGCTACTCAGGTTCCTCTGCCCACCACTGTTCCTTTAGTCATTACTCAGTCTCTGTGTTTAACTCAATGGCTCTTCAGTCAGATAACCAGACAATCATGACCTTCCTCTGCCTTCAGGGATTAATTTGCTAGCTACTGTAGTTGCAGCTACTATATTTTAACACAGTGCTCAAGGGGTTAGTACTAAAATCAAGCATGTGCCCAGCCCTTATCAGAAAGCAATTTCAAGACACTTACTGTGAAAGATTTCACGCTGGTTGCCGAGCTAGGCCTCTCAGTTTCAGGATATGGTGAATGAGAAGCTGGTCTCTTACTAGCTTCTTCCTCTTCTCCATCCTCCTCATCAAAATTCAAACTGCCTGAAATTCCTGTCAAAATAAAGCAAGTAACCTCTGAAAGGAGATGTCACGAGTTTGTGGCATCACTAATTCATACACGACATTTGCACAGCTAGTCACTCTTTTCATTAATTTCAGTTGATTTAATTAAAATCAACTCCTGATTTTCCTCATGTGCCATATTGCTTCCCAGGACTTTTAATTCAAAACCCTAGTGACATTTTGCAGCTGTCATCGTGCAGATGATTAAACAGCTGTCAGGCTTTTATAAATACTTATTTAAATGATATTAAATGATGTAGCATACTGCTCAATATACATTGTCGTTGAGTTAATTTTGCCTATTTTCATGTAAAAAAGCCCTCCATGTCTTAAAAAACAAAGGAAATCCAGATCAATATGCTGACACCTCCACTGTAAACTGGACTCTGTACAGCTTACATTCTTGACCATTTCCCCTTAGCCTTATACACACTGAAATGGAGTAGGATAATTTTTCTGTAAGAGCCCCTCCTATCCTTACATCAGCAGCAATAACCCATGTCTCATGAATACTATTGATGATTTTGTTTTTAAAACAGAAGTGCAGTCTGAGTAGTTCCAGGATTTATTTAATCCTAACCTAGTCACAGCTATGTAGAGATGACTGTAGGTATATAACTAAAATAACTCCGGATAAAAACATTTTAAAGAATGTTTATGTGTACAGAAGCACACATAACTGTTTGGTGCTTACTTGGAACTGTGTCATTTTATTCTGAGATTCCATTCTTTAATTTGGCTGTAGAATGGAGAGCACATAAAGCAGTATAGAAAATAAACACTGAATTATTTTCCAAGAGCAAATATTATAACACTACTCCAACATGGCACTCCTGGAAGTTCTTTATCTCAGATGAAATAGAAAAATGTAGTCTTAACAACTTGTCAGTAAGCTTCACAAAGCACATTTGGAAAGAGGAAAGGCATTAACTCTAGTACTCTGGCCAATTTCAAAATTTACTGTTTATATTCTATCTCTACTAATTACCCCTGAAGTTTCTGGATATACTCTCCTACTTCCTTCCCTAACTCTTGCATAATGTTCCTATCCATAGGTAAGAAGCTGTTGCATCTGACAACTGAATGGATGTATTTCTAGATGTGGTAGTACCTTAATATATAAGCTGCACTGGAAACATTCTGGGACACATGCTCAGCAAAATAAAAATAAGCTGTGCACTATATTAAGCACTAGCCATTATTCTGCTGCAAAGTGCTTAGGCTGCATTCAACAAAAAGGGTTTCCTGTGGTACTGGCAGACAGAGATGGACACTCCACTGGGAAACTACTCAATGGGATATAGCTATTGAAACTGTTGATTGTGACAGCTTCTGACTCAGGAAGAACACCTTTCCTGGTGTTTTTCAGAGCCCTGAAAAATTCTTTGCCTATTATCAACTCTTAATGCCCATCAATTCTTAATGTCAAGATAACGCCCATTATATTACCTCGTTTCTGTAAGATTTCTTGCAGATCTGGCTTGCCTGCTGTGTCTGTTAGAGCCTCTCCATCATTTTCCTGATCTGCATTGTCTTCTGATTTGGAAGATCCAGCAGAGAGAGTTTGGAGCTTGGTCCCCAGATCTTGCACTTCTGATTTCAGGAAAGCAGCTGGTCCATCAATACCTGCAGGCCAAAACAGAACAGAATGCTAAAGTCTATTTTTGTGGCTAAAGACACATGCCAAGATGGTTGTTCTTTACATCTTCCTTGCTCAAGCATCCCTTTAAAGTCCTGACGTCTTCTTGTTCGATTTTGATCAGAAAACTTGGAAGTATCCAGGCCTGACTCTGGTACAGACAGCCTATTACTTTAAACATACCAGGCATCAGCTTCTCTATTTACAAATATAGTCATTGTATCTACTTTTTTACAAAGGGCTTAAGCAGTTAAAATGAGTTGTATTTGTCATGCACATTGATATATTTTAATTTATGGGCAATTACTCTATTTTCTTTTCCTTCATGTTCTTCGCTTGCTCCTAAACTAAAAAGTAAGCGCTTTACAGTGCACACTGCAAGTAAATTTGATAAAATTATCTACAGGCACAGGCAGAAAAAACTGTAAATGGATGCCCTCTTTTTGGTAGAAACCAAATTTCCACATTTAAGCATGCAATTCAGCTGTGCACTGTCCCTAACTGGTGGAGGTGCCTTGATGTCAGGGTCTGGCCTTAATACATTTATGTGGCACACAATATGCAACTGTAGTTCCAGCTTTGGATTTCTTGCTTTCCCACCGTTTTCCTTCTTAAAACTTTACTGCTTTATCTAATCATCAGATTTCTGACATGTTTACTCCTGTTACCACTTCTTAACAGAATTTATTTGTACTGACAAAGCTTCAGAATGATGTAAACTAATGAAGGAGCGGTTAGTTTTTATTTTTCTTTCTTGTAGTTTCAGTACTACTGAAGTTTCCTAACTTAGAAGTTATATCAATCTTTTTGACTTGAAGTGTCTTTCAACAGCAGCCTTCTCCTACCCGATTTTAATCACATAAATGCTACCATCCATCATCACTTTCCTCCCCATCCTATGATCCTGAAAGACACCTGGAGAACAGCACATGAAAATCATTCAAATCATTTTTACATTTGTTTTCACCTCACACCCTGCCCCCTCTAAGTCTTATCTCTCAATATAAGATAGGATAACGTGTTTCCAAATGTGATCTTCAAGCCAAGTAACACTGGTTTGTTTGGGTTTTTTAAATTCTACTCTATACATTAATTCCCTATTAACAAAACTGTGGTATTTTAACATCCTGCAGTAACATGCATCTCTAAGCCTTTGGATAGTTCCTGTTACTTTCTTGATAGCCTGTTATGATCCATGCTCTCAAGCTACACTTCCACTGGAATATACAGATTTCATTGCTGCTCCTTTTTCTTCGCTGCGACATGGAAAACGTAATGCTCTCGATACTGTACTTGTTTTCACTTTTCACAGAATGGTTTCTATTTTACTGTAATGTTTGGAGATCACTAAGTTACTGCCGTTGGCTCTGATGTCACTTTGTGCTTGTGACTTTCTGGACCACTATAGCTTGCTTGTCATGTTTCAGTTGTCTCCCTGAAGCCCACAGAAAACAACAGATTAGATAAAACCCAGAAAAAACCTAATTCAGTATTCATAAGAATTTTGTTTTGCTCTTGTCTACTTTATCATTCAGTCATATGCAATCTCTAGATGGAGTATACCATGATGAAAAGTACAGGCTGTCACTACTCAATTATTTCTTTTTTTTTTTTTTTTTATCCTACAGCTTTATAAGACTCTCTTACACTGGGTTTGTATCTCCCTACCCTTACAGAAGTTCCTAACCTATTTCCACAATTCTTCTTAGTCTAACACAAGGGAGATGTTCTTCAAAGGCACATGAAGATTCTCAGCTATCACAAAATTCAAGGTAAGGTTTTTGGTTTATTGCTTAAACATACTGTACTACAGTTCTTTTTTTGTACGCATAAAGGTATGTAATCAATCTTGTTTATCACTTGACCACTGTCACAGCAATGTGGTGCCCATCTGCAACATCAAGTGCATGCACTGGCATTTTTGGGAACATTGCTGCAACCAGGTTGATTACTTACCATGTAAAATAACATCACTGTGGAAAGGGGTAGGAGCTTTTACTAAAGGAGTCTGCTCCTCATACCCTTTGGGCTTTGACCTATGCAGCTTTGCCTCAGGATTTGCCTGTACCATCAAAGGATCAAGACGCTTCTTCCTCTGCTTCTTCTCTAAAAGAGCTCTCTGTGAAATAAAGAAACAGCATGACGTAAGAACCACATTCAGAGAGCCAGCTATTTGTGATATTTCATTGGTGACATTCAGCTCAGCTATTGGTGATAACACGTCACTGTTCAGGATCTCCAATACATCCAAAATACTCCTGTAATCTCTTACAAAAACCCTAGACGCATATCACTTCGTCTTTGGAGTGATCCCTGCCTCTGATTCCCCATCAGTGGAGATGGACGCCTGCTTGTTTTCTGATCTATTGTGAGAGCATCAGCAGTAATTCCTTTCATCCAGTCTAAACTGCAGCAATCCTTCATATATATAGACAAATTCAGCAGTCATTTATAGTACAATTTGAAACAGTCTGAACTTACAGAAGAAATGCTTTTTCTGTCAGAAGCTATCATTTTAAACAGAGAACTCAAACCAAATAGTTTCCAGAAACCAATATTGAAGAGATAAGACTTAGAGGGGACAGGGCGTGAGGTGAAAACAAATGTAAAAAAATACAGTCATTAAAATAGGACTGATCTGGTAAAAGGAAAATTCATCTACCTTGCAACATTTTCCAAGGTACATATATATTTGATGTTTATGGTTTCCTAGTAAACAAGAATAGAAACAACTGCTGAGGCAGGAGGAACTGTGATGTGATGAAGTTATGATGGCATTAACGAAACCTCGTGTCAAAAGCACCGTACCAACTGCATTCAGAAACAGGCTTCCAATTTCCCGCTCTCCACCCACAGGGAGGTGGCAGCATTACACTTTGAGCTGCAAGTGCCTCAAAAAGACACGGAAACGCCTCTAGCACTGCGTTCGTAAGCACTGTGCGAGGAGCCACACGCCCTCTCTTCACGGAAAACGCAGTAACCTGGATAAAAGCGTCCTGGCCGGCAGAGCTGGCCCACAGATGGAATTTAATGTCATGAACTGTGAAAAACTGAGACCCATAACCTAATATTTGACAAATGCTTGGCTGTAAATGTTTTCTGCGTAGGAGACAAAACAAATCAAAATATGCTGGAAATCCTTCTCAACAGCAGAGATCCTTCTATAGCTCAGGGAAACCTTTTCCTTTAATGCTTAAAATGGATAATTCTCTTAGCCTTCCTTTTGATTCATTCCTGCATTGGGGTGAGTCAATCCCAATTAAATGAGAGACATATGAAAAATAAATATATCAAAGAAATCAAGCCTACAAGCCATAGTAAGGTTGACTTAAACTAACGAAAGCCATTAAAATCTTTAAAGAAAAATGTTTTTGCCATAGCAGTGAGTTCTTGTTTGCATTCTTAACAACCCTATTTCTCAAGTCAAGGCTAATGTTTATTTTCCTATACTTATTTCAACCAGCTTCAACACTATCATTTACCTGATGCTCTAGTTTCAGCTGTCGTAGTTTCATGGTTTCATCCTCAAAGATGCTGGGAAAGGGAAAGAAACAAATTAATTATTGCTATTAAAGTTTGCATTATAAGAGCACAAGATATTCACAGGCTACAACTTCACCATCAAGACTTTACAACAAGTGTAAAACATCTATCCCACAAGGAGACTAAGTTACAACACATTAAAAAACATGTTATATTCTGTCATAAATAGGACCAAACTGTAGTTTAATCACCTTAGTAAACTGTTCTGAAAACATTTTGTAAGCAACAAAACCTTCATTACTGATGGACAGATTTTACCGAGTTGGGCTATCTGAATTTATACCTGAAGGATTAACACAGTTCAAATCAATTCAATAGTCCCTGCTCCTTCATAAAATACCCAATTCCAAATTAACTCAGATTTTTAGGTTCTGTCTTAGAGTTAAACCTACACCATTTTCTCCTGCCAGAATTCCCAGAACTACAGTTAATATCTGCATCTGTATTTGCAACACCTTATATCTGTTCCTAGAGATGAAAAAATGATTCGAGTTTATTTAAGTTTTATAGATAACTTTCATAAGAACTCTAGTTTTTCATCCTAAATTGTGTTCCACAGACTTCACATTTCCTTTTGCATGATAGTGGATTATTACATAAGCTAATGCACTCAATTTAGCACAGTTAACCTTACAAAAGGGAAAGGCTAATTGACAAGTAAGCACATATTCTGCCTACCAAAGCTGTGCACCTTCCTCCTACACAGCTTTGACAAAGACCTCTATGGCAGTGAGAAAGCATCATGAAGAAGATAATATGAGACACAGACAAACATTATATATTTTATGATGGCATGCAGTAGAGCAGGGCTAGCCACAACTGCAATTTAAACAGGAAATTCTTTGTCTGGTCCAGGTGTGCAGAAATATCCAATCATGTGAAGTCACAAGCAGGCAGACAATGCTGAATAAAAATCCAAACAAGGAAAACCAGAGACAGAGGGAGAGAGACGGGCTGGAGTTTCTGCAAAACACATGCCGTGGGAATTGGATCACAGCAAATAGAGCAAACAAGAGGAGAAAGGACTCAGAATCCCCTTAACTCCTAGTAAATCCACATTTGACTCAATTTCCAGGCAAGCAAAAGACAGATCAAAGGTCCTTACAGACATACTACGCCATCCAACACGTCCTGTGCTGGGAGGCCGAAACATGTAGAAGTTTTGTATACACACAGCTTATAAACTCTAAAATTGATGCTTATTGCCCAGCTAATGCCATTATAATGCACTGTTATTACCGCCATTGCTTTTTACCTTGCAGCTTTCCTTATTTTTTTTTTTCCTAACGTATTTCAAGCATCATCACTTAGGAGGTCTAGGACCTTGAAAACACCTTGCTTCTAAAACCCGATATTACTCCTCATGTGGATCAGTCATGTAGCACATTAGATTCAAAGGAGGCAAGGGCCTGGAAAAACTGATTACTTTCTTGAAGAGGGAATGAGAAGTATTGCATGTCCCTACAGCAACAGTTACAGTAATACAGTTGTCTTCACCTGAAAAAATCCACAGTTTAAGAAAAAAAGCATGTAGAGACACATCTACTGAGTGCAGCAAGATATATTAGTTGCCACATAAAACTTCAACATAAAGTAAAACTGTGATGTGTTTTTTATAAGTGCTTGAAAGCTCCACTTACAATCATAATTAAGAAACAAGGAGGAGGGATATTCCTTTCCGTTTATTTTCTTATGCCCACTGACTTACGAAATAGATGACATTTGTTAACTGTAGTCAAGTGTTTCTTACAAAGCAAGCTGTGCAGCTCTTATTAATATTATATTTATGGACACATTCTTATATAATTAAAAAGAACTACAATGATGCCCCCTGTAGATAGAAGCTTCAACCTGTGGCTTTATTGCTTTTCCTAACAGAAAATGGAATATACTTCCACGTCTTCCTTCCTGAAGGATGGCAAAATGCTGAAAAATAAGGACTCATATACATGCCTTGCAGAAATCCTCAATGAAAATTATTTTCTACCCACGCTGGAATAAAGCTACATAATGTCAAAGGCAGGTCTAAAGGCCCGTGGAATGGGACCGTAACACAGACGATAAAGTGTCCAACCTCCAACTGCTTAACTGAGACTTGGGCATGATTGAAACACATAAAGATTCTAACAGGTCACAGAGGTTGATAAAGTAAAAAGACAGCAAGTAGTGTTCTCTTTTACAACTTACTGTTAAACACAGACCAAAATCACCTTGCAGCAGGCCACTAAGTGAAAGCAGTGACCAATTCTTCTCATTATAAACTGCAAGGATCCACACAAAGAATAAAATTAAAAGAAACAAAGCCACAAATAAGCACTGTGGCACTGTAAATAGTGCTAAAAATACCCCCAAACAAAACAAACCCACTATTATTATTCACTCTTCCCCAGACCTACCTTCCAGCATTTGGTCATTGTTAAGGTGTAACAAATAACCAGACCAAAAAGAGCTTCCCACACATACGCACATTTTACACCTTTTTTTTACCCCCCACAGTGGTTTGGTGTTACTACAGACATTACAGGAAAACGATGTGCTAGTCACTCCCACAGCTCATCACAAAGGAATGCAAGCAGTGTGCTAATACAGCTGCAGGCTTCAAATGCAAATCCTCCTTCAGATGGACTTACTACACAGACTAGTACATCCAAGTGCTCTTTGGACATGCCCACGTTGAACCACTATGCTCTTAACTATGGCTTTTTATTTGAAGGGGTTACGTGTAGTAGGAATTAAATATCCAGTAAGAACAGGAAAAATACTCTGTATCTCCATGGATGCAACAACAGTGTTCAAAACATGAGAAAAACACCCTAAAACACAACCACCAAAACAGTCACCCGTTTACCTTTGATAAATAATAATAAAAAAATCCTGGTAGCCTGTCATGATCTTCCTCTTCCCAGTCCCTGGAGCAGACTATACAAGACCCTGCCCCTGACTCCTCTGCTACATTCACCAGAACTCATAAGGTCTCCTGCTAAAGCTACATGATGGATAACGGACACATGCTAGAGAGAAAGGAAAAATGACTCAGAGTGTAATGTAGAAGTGAAGAATACTTATTATCCAGAATACAGAATAAAAGAGTGTGTGAACAACTAGTTCAAGAAACACTCAACTGAGAAGATACAACAGCATGCCTGAATGTGAACAGCAACACATACAGGGGTTCACAGATCCATTTGTCCTCACAGATCCTTTTCTAGATTCAACAGACTAACATGAAGCAAAATGTTTTATTTTTAACCCTCATATTCCTGCTGAAATCAGAATTAGCCTTCTCATAAGCAGAAATTAAAATGTTACAATAGGAATATGAATGACAAATTTATTATGGATGTTTTTATTTGGTCTCTCCTAACCATTTTTTGGAATATCGAACTAGCCACAATGAAGAAATAACTTCAGAGGTCCTTAAATTTTTAGCTGTTCCCATTGGTCTGCTTCCTTTAAGGAAGGCACAGTAAACTAACATTTTCATCTACAGATGTTACAGACTTGCCAATACATTATGTTCCATTTCTTACTCATGTAACTCCTTTTTCCTTTGCAAGACAGTTTATTAATGTGGTAGCAGCAGTTATGTCTCTGAGCAACACTCCCAGAAATTAAGAATCAGGGAATGAGAAGGATGTGGTTTATGGCACACATTTTTGTCCACTAGATTTTATTTTTAGCTGTAGAAGCACAAGTAAAACCAACTTCAGTAAGAAATGAAGAGACAGCTGGTATGAAGGGGTTTTCACTCTTAACTCTCCAAAGAACTTTCCTGGGAACTACATTCAAACTATGGCTATGAAAGAAAACAGAAGCTGTAGAAATGAGATCATTTGAAGAAGACTTCTTATCTTTTAAAAGATTACAATGCTGTCTCTGGAAAATGGCTGACAAAAAAAAAATTATCTGTAATGCACCTTCCAGTCCACAAAAGAGAGGAGTCCCATCTTTTTCCTTGCAACAGACACAGCTAGAATTGCTCATTTCTGGGAAAGGGAGTAACACAGAACAATAGTAGTGAGGATTATCAATGTTTTCCGCCTTCGCCAAGGCAGAAAAGCAGACTTTTTTTTTGGCAAACATGGAAGATTCTTTCCTTTTAATTATAAGTCTTTCTAGGTAAACTGGATTGGCTGTAAATTGGCCATAAAATGTCACCCCCATTTTTAAGTGACACAGGTTGCTATGTAACAGTTCTTATAACAGCATTTCAGTTACAAGTTATTAAGCAGTTGACAGTTCAACAAGGGCAAGTTTTAACCTCTGTCTGGGTTTTTACATAAAGAATGCTATCTCCCAGTGAAATCAGTTTTACCTTTGATTCCTCCTCCTAAATAAACATGCACAGATTCCTAATGCCAACAGCATACTGTTTTGAGAAAGTTTTGAGAAAGGTTTCACAAAATTCATTTGGCAAGATTTTCCACCTGCTTAACATATGGGAGCAATGACATGGCAACAGTGAACACTATTTTGGGAGCAATTCTGAATGAGTGAATATATTATCATGAATAAAGATTGTCTTCGATATGCCTTAACATACAAATTATGTCCCACATGATACAAATCACATAAAACAATCACAGACTATTTGAAAAGTACTAATAAAGCCAACAACACCTGCCAGATTAGGGTGGGGAAGCAGAAAGACGAGCATCCAGATCTGTATGTCTTACTCCACTGTAAAATACACCCAAATACTCTAGGCACTACATGTTCTGACAAGCACTGCATAACTTGTAGCAGCTATCTGAACAACTTACAACTTACTAAAGAAGATCAAAAGAAATACAAAGGCAAGTTAGTCCTTTAATACTCTTGCTTCTACCTACGAGTTTAAAAATGGAACGCCACTGTAATCAGGTACTTTTCTTAAAACCCATGCTTTAAAGCGTGCCAAACATAACCAAACCAACACCCCTGGCCCCACCCCCCCAAAACCCAAACCAAAACCCACCACCCTCACCACCACAACAAGCTGGCATTCTGAA